AAGCTCCGTGATGCAGCGATCTGGGAGTCTCCTGAATACATGTTTCGCGATCATGCAAAAAACAGCACACACAGGCAAAAAGACAAGCACAGACTTGAATCAAGTGTCAGTGTGTCTTAGCAACGATGCCCATTCCGGGCAAGTAAACCAATTTGGCAAAAGTTCAGAGGCCACCTTCAACTATGCCCCAGCAGAAAGACATGCGCTATCCACTTTTCTGTCCTCCACATGTGCCCGGCTTAGCGAGTGTAACACCTTCACCATTCTAAGTTGGGGCTCTGCTGCATCCTAACGCTGATGGGGATTATTCCGCATGATACAGCCGCCGATACTACTATCACAAGCTACTAATAACGCCGCCAATAACAGTCTGGCTGCTGGCGTGAATGGGGCAAATCAAGACATCATCCGGTTTCATTTTTGCCTGTAAAGGGTGCATGTAGAGATGGCAGATGCTAGTGGAGCGTGCAATAAGTGTACGGTTGAAGGGTGGGAAAATTACCCTGTGTACATAGGAAACCGTCATGAAAGAGCCGGCCCTCTTCTTTCCCCCCTTGCCCTCGACTAAGAAGTCGGCAGCGAACAGAGGGCAAGACGGTTGACGACGTGGTATTTCGATTATAAAGCAGACATGTACAAGATGTGTTAGGACAAAATAGAGGAATGGGCAAAAGATAAGGGAGAGCGATAGAGGGGAAGGCAAAAGATGTTAGCATTTTGCATGAAATTCATACACATCTTACGTCCTCGAGGCTGGCCAAGTGTCTTCTCTCAACTGTACCACTTTCTGGCGGGAATGGAGGGCAAAATGCCTGCCCAGCATGGGCATGAATAAGTCGGCATGTATAAGATGGCCAAAATAAATGCAAATAAGGAAAGAAGGTGAGTCGTGAGCAAAAGTGTACATACCATCAGCACGAGCGAACAGTGTGGCAACCAGGGCTTCCTTAGAGGCCTCCAACACAGCAACGACAGTTTCATTGAGGGGATCCTTGTTCTTTTCCAGCCATCCGGTTATGCAATAAGGCACCTAAAAGAGGGAAATCAGTGAAAGATGTGCATGGTCGTCAGCAAATACATATTTGTCCACGTATTCTTATGAGCATATATTTATTTTGAAGATAGTAAGACCAGGATGATGGGGCTTTTTGTATGGTCGCGGTTTCCTTTCGTTGTATAGAAGTTGCTTAACCTCGTTTTCACAGCTTGGTCATAGTAGCAGGAAGATGTAGAGGAGCGCACCATGTGCGGAGTCCATTTTTCGAGTTGTTTTCAACCGCTGAGTAGTTCTAGTATCAGTTAGCATGTAACACATGCTCAAACCAAAGAGCCCAGGGCTCAAGTGTTCTATAGAAGGAGGTGGGCAAATTCACACAGAACACGTATGATTAATATAATAATTATTAATTGTACCGTGATGATGATTACAACGGTTATTATTGCTATTCTTCTTCTCATTATTATTATTATTATTATTATTACTATTATCAGTATTATTATCATTAAGATATGAATACCAAGATGTTGTGGCCTCTGGTATGGTCGCAGTCTCCTTTCTATTTATAGAAGTCTCCTAGAGAATAAGGAGGGCAAATTCACACAGAACACGTATGATTAATATAATAATTATTAATTGTACCAAGATGATGATTACAACGGTTATTATTGCTATTCTTCTTCTCACTATTATTATTATTATTATTA